AAAAATTACAAACAAAAAATAAGTCTATCTGCATACGAAGTACTTTTTCCAACATCAGAAAGACTGTTTTTCAGTGGCAGGAATATAGTAGAGCCTATAGAAGACAACAATCTTCAGTATGTTACTGATGACAGCATAAATGGAAAGTACTAATCAGCTAGAGCTTATTAGCTTGCACTTAGCACTTATTTGAAAAGCAAAAGAGATACTTTCAAATACTCCAAAGAGCAGACAATATTTGATTTTAAGGCTATGCCTTCTGAATTCAGGACATGAGGTTAAAAAGGAGAACATGTCCTCCTTTTGCTGGATATCTGGTGATCTTAATCAGATAGACTTAACACTATTTTTAAAAGCAAAATAAACTTCAGCTATATTCAGAAAGCAGGAAGAAATTACTTTTCTAGACCTGCCCATGTATATTATATACTATACACGTATCTAGTTCGCAATACCAAATTTCCACTATAGTCCTCTAATATCCGATATGTAGAACACCCACACGCCAACCATTTGCCCAGTCCTGTACTGCATTTTTCAGAATTTAGTCACAATTCTAGTTCTTGCCCTTTTATAGACAACTCATTTTTATGACATGTATTAATTCCAGCAGCCAAATTATAAATTTAACCTTACCTTAGTGAAACTGAATAGACACCATTATGTTTGTTCCTTAAATAGCAGAGCATTCATGGACTTTCCAAATGATCATAGCAACAACAACTAAATGTCTGCATATTACTTTTACAAGTGTGATACAATATAAATATATCACTCATACCTAGTGTTCAAAAAGCTGTTTCTATCCAGTTACGGAGGAAGTCCTTGCTCAAGTTTCTTTTTCAAAAAGGATATTCCTCTGATGATCCAGCTGTTTTCCAGATGTCTAATCGCCCCAACCTATTTGAGCAGGAAAGTCAGCTTCCTGTAGCAACTTCCAGGATAGAATGCTTCAGGATGTCATGATTCAAAACAAAAATTCCAAAAAGGAGATTCTGTTCTCTTTAAAACAAATAGCTAAAGAATTGTGTGCAATTTACCAGGAGTGAGAAGAGGAGAATCTAAAAGAACTCTATTAGAAGGATGAACAGAAAGATCCATAATCATACTTAATTTTAAAAACCAGGTACCACTATAGCTCAAGTTTCTTTGACCAATTATTTGGACTATATGAAGCCTGTGACCATTATTTATTTATTTTATATATCACATTTAAAAAACATCCATCTCCCTCATGGATGGGACATTTACATGGACATTCTGTATTACATTTATCTTAGTTCTGTTTTTTTTTAATCTTAAAACACCAGCAGATCTTCATGCAATGATTGGCTTTGAATATTGTATTGGGGACTTGTTAACTGTATTTGTGTTCTTTCTGTGGGTGTGAAACAGTCTTTTTTAGTTTAGTGATTCGCAGATGTGCCAAGTCATCAAACACACACACACATCCTTTGTATTTTTCACCATTTAACTGATGGGAAATTTTGGGACTGCATTCCCAATATACTGTATCTAGAAGATCACAAACTAGAATAATTGCCACAATACTTTTATTAATGGCAATTACCTTATAGGTTTTGCCCATACTTGGGGGAGCTGGATTGTTTTTAATCTTAACTTAGGGCCTGAACATACATAATGTATTGTTGTTGAGAATCACATTGTTACAAGACTTTCTTTTTTATGCTGAATTAATTTTACTGCAGATCTTTTTAAAAAGTGTGTTGTCAATTTTATATTTAATTTTTAGTTTACAAAGAAGTTGGTCATAGATCTACTGTACATCTATTTTCTACCTATCAAAAAAAAAATCCATGTGTTTTCCCAAGGATGAAGATGCGGTTGAAGATACTTGGTTTCTATATTTTCAGAAATGAAAGTTCAGCCATTGCTTGCAAGTTTCTATAGCCCAGCAACCTTAGAGCAGTACAGAGTACAATCTTATATCATCACAGAAATAGAGAGTTTAATCTGAATTATTATGCTTTCCTACAAACTTTACATTAAGACGCTGCCGATGCAGATTTCAGAATTCTCAGCCTTCCCCTTTTCTTATTTTTTGTAACGATTTGGCTACCTGTACATTTTGTAATTATTTAAAAGAGGAAGGTTTTCCAAGCTGTATAAGCAATTTGCATCTTCTAAACTCATTGATTATAAGAACACAATTGCCATGCCTTTCTCTGATTAATTAAATACTAGTATCTATTATAGCAACACCAAGTCATAATTTTTATTATTATTTCACCATGTGTTTGTTGCTTGTCCTAGCATGTGAATCTACTCATGATAAGATTGTCAACCAAAGACTATTTTTTCATATCATGTACTGTATATAAAACTTTTATTCTATCTTCTTCCTTGATCATAACAACACAATCATTCTGATCCTGATTTTAATATTAGTTCTGTCTTGCATATGCAAAATTAACCCTTCCTTATTCCAGAATAATTCATTTGGAGCAACATCCTATGGGTTCCATAGTGCATATCCTCATAATAACTAATGGTGTATTTTTAAAAGTCATATAAAATAGATTAACATGAAATAATAAGCCTCTTATAACTCTTTGCATGCCATTCCAGCAGCATGGAGGCACTTCTGCATAGGTTTATTCTATTTTGAGGAGGCACTTGTATGACTAAGTAAGAATTATTAAATAAGGAATTATAAAATCTGAGCTGATCTAGATGAGACAGATTAACAAATGCAGGAGAGAAACCTACACACCTGACCAGCCCTTTGTGATCATGGATTCTGCAATGACCTTGTCCACAAAAAGTGGCTCTTACAAGCCTATAATTAATGTGAGAAAAAAATTCATCCATAACATGAAGGTTGATGAAAAAAATTACAATATTCTTTATTCTTTCAGACATAACTTCAGTGTCTTCCATTGCAGCACCACATGGAGCAATTCCAGCAGATACCAAACCTCTATTAGCCAGAAAATGTAATGATGGGTGAAATATCATCACAGGAGTTGTTCACCTATTCCATGCAGCTGGTAGATACAAAAATTGAGGAGAGGAAATCCTTGAAAACCATTAACAAAGAATTAAAAGATGTGTACCTTGCTCTTTTTAATGCATGTTTGTAGCTATAGCAGAAGCAATGATGTGGTTAAGTGGTTTAGGACAAGTCTAGAGAAGAAATAGTTATTATTATGGATTTATTTAATTCAAAGGGAAGTATGAATATCAATCTAATGCATATGAATTATCACTTAATGGATATTAATTATGCCTTTGTAATCTTGAAAACCTCTGCTGCTTTTTACCATTAAGAACTTCAAACTGGAAATAACACTTAGCCATCCATTATATGCTTTTTGAGTGATCTGAGGATCACTTTGTCTAGGACAAAAAGACCTAAAGAGCAATAATTATTGCACATTACTATGGGATACAAAATTACAGTACTGAATGTACGTGTGTGTGTGTGTGTGTGTGTGTGTGTGTGTGTGTGTGTATGAGAGTGTATGTGTGAGTGTATGTGTATGATAAATATACCATTTCATACATATTTCCCCACTTGAGAATGCATGTAGAAAAAAAGAAACCCAACCAGTCTTTCAATATATCAATATATCATTCAGGATAGAGTTTTACTCCATCTATTTTAAGATTAATCTCATTCAATTTATTTGAATTTATTTCTCAGTTAGTCATGTACCATCAGATAAATACTTTATTGATTAGTGAGTTGACCATTAGGATTGTAGTATAGTCCACTTTCTTATCATTGATAAAAAAAAATATCGGATTCATACAAAGAAGAAACCATTTTAGTCCACAGTGAAACATCTTCATAACTTGTATAAAGAAGAGAAATGGTCTAATCAGTTTTTTTTCCAAATTCTATCAAGAAAGTTTTGAAGATATTTTTTAATCTTCATCCTTATACTAATCTCTCTGAATATTTGTATATGTGAAAAATACCATTTGTTATTAGACAGCATGATATATAAATGGACAAAATAGATACATGTGGCTTTCAAAACTTTCTCCAGTGCAACAAGCAAGGGACAAATTTCTCTCCTACTCTCTTTTTTTCCTGCTTGTATCATTTTCCACTTCAAAACAAATCACAATTTGGGCATATTATCCAAGAGGAACTCTTTGCAGCTTTTTATTATTATTATTCAGCATATGAACCCTATGCTGCCCCAGTTTGCAATTCTCTTTTTGCTATCCTACTTATCCAATAGAAACTTATTTGAGTAAAATAAGTTTATTTGAGTGATATGAGTAAAATGTGAAAGAAGACGAGAGTGTTTGGGTTTTTTTAGTTTGAAGTCATTATTTAAAATGGGTCACCTTTTAATCCTATTCAGCTATATAGAAGCCAGAGCAGGTAGGAAAGTTATTTCTCCAGCCTTCCTGGAGTATAACCATTTGGCTTCCTTCCTGGCCAGGAATTGGGCAATGTGAGACCATATTCACACAGGATCATTTCTCTGCAGCTTTCCTTTTTATTACAACCCTGAAGTATACCACATCATTAACAGTAATAACTACCTTGCTAACAGTGTTGCCTTACTACTATCAGTAAATAATTACAGCAAAATCCTTACTCCCTTCAGTAATGTTCTTTCCAACCCTTTGCTCTTTGAAACTAATCATTTTAGGATCACCACTAAGAACATGCCATTGTACTATCAGCCAAATTAACATACAGCTAGCCATAAATACAACACACAGTTCTGATGGATTTCCCAGAGAGATTACAGAGCACTTAATCCTGCCTAAACTAAACATACTGAATGCAAATTTGATGCCAATTTCCTTCCAGGCATTGGTTAAGAGATGTAGATGTGGGCAGCACCAGCATCTTAAATTCTGTGTGCTCAAATCATTGCCCTCTCATCTAAAGTACTCCAAATCAATCTTTCCTCCCCATGTGGAATAGCTCTGTAAATCATTCCCAATAAACAGTGCATGCCACAAATGATGTCTTCTAGCCTTAAGGGTCCAATAACCTGATGGCACCTTACCTGTTGACTGCATGCTCTCTTGAATCGCCTCGACTTCAGACAGGTCCATGCAAACACCTTGGCCATGCATGAGTGTGTGCAAGGGCTTTTCCATTCCCCGTGGTGGGTAACATCGCAGCCCTGAACCACAGCGAGATGTGTATACCCCACAGAGCATCCCTTTTGTTAAGGCACACGTGGCACAACATCCACAGCCTGGTTCCTGCACCAGCTCCTCACATCCAGAGGGTGTCCTGCAGCGTGCCAGCTTCTCCTCAGAACATGGAGGGCACTGGATAGCCTCAAGGCTCACAGAAAAGCCCACCTGGGCTAAAAGCAGCAGGGCAACAGACACCCCGTGGGAGGGCATGGTAGGCAGGCTACGGTCCTGGAGAGTGAAGGGCCAAGAAACAAAGGCTGCAAAGAATAGTCTTGCTGCTAGAGCAGACTGCCTGATCTCCAGCGAGGGGGACTCTGTACTGAAGGGGGGAGAAGCTCATTCTTTGGACTTTATACCACTCTCTGGCCACACCTCCCTGCTCTAGGGAGAAGCAGAGAAGGAACAGCACAGCAGCCACATAACTGAGGCAGCTTGCCCCGCAGCCCAGAAAAGACCTTATTTGCCCTGAGGAAGGAAGCACAAAGAGCCTGCCACAGCTGCGAAGACTGAAACCTGTGCTAGGAATGGAAAACAGCAACAGGAGCAGCAGCCCTCCCACCATGCTTCCCCTGTTACTTTAGTAAGTTATGAGTGAGGGCACTTCCCCAACAGGTTTCTCACAAACTCTTTTGTTACATGTACAGCACGCGGTATAAAAAGCACAACTCATCCAGTGCTCTGCTTCTCAGCCAACCCTCCAAGGTGAGGTCATTCTCTGTTCTCTTCAGCAATAGAAAACTGAGATACACTGCCTTTGACTTTGGAAGTTCCAGCTTAATTACTGTGTTGCATATTTCATGAACTGTCTAAAGTTCCTTTTCATAAATTTAGGTGGATGGCCATTATCTATTTTTGCAGAAATGCATTTCTTTTGTGATTCTCTAGAAACAAGGGAAAGTAGATACACATTTCTCTTTGCATTCCCTTGCTTGAGCAGAAAGTCACTCCCCAAAATGTGAGTTTTTGGAATATGCTCAAAAATGTGTCTGGAACTTCTCCACATTCCTTGGAGAAAGATGCACAGGTTCCTTCTGTATAGGCATTTAAGGGGGGGGGGAATAAACAGCTCTACCATGCATATGCCACAACATCTAAAGATACCTAAGATGGACACTAAAGAAACATTCACTTTGGTTTGTCTCTTACTTCACAGGTTGAGAACTGATTCTGGTAGACAAAATGGTCACTCTCAGTTCTGCAAGCCCAAGAACATCATTGCCTACGATTGTAGCCATTCTTTATCAAGTGAGACCCTTCCATTGACTGTGTTAGCTGAAAATTTTGGAAATGCTTATTGCATCACCTCTGAAGGGCACCAGATTAAGGAAAAGCAGGATTATTACCTGATCATTTAAAAGATTGCCTGCAGCATGCTCTTAAGATTCTAGATGTGTTCATCAGCCCCCAAAGTTGGATATCTTTGCATTAAGGCATAAATCATAGCTTACAAACCATAAAGGTTGGTTCATACATCATGTTAAGCCACAAACAAGCAATCATATTGTGACTTAGTATGACTCATGAATCCAGTCCTTGGAATTATGGGAAGAGAAGCTTTAAACCTGGGAACACCTTTCAAGATAATTATTATCCTGCAAAGTTTTAAAGACATAATTTGGACTTTAGAGAATAGAAAATATTTCCTATCAATAAAATACTCACCTGAACATTTTCTGTATGCTGGGTGTTAATTTTAGATCTTTCTGGGTTGATTTTGGTTACCTGGTACCATAAAGCCACCCTGAATATCTTCAAGGGCATCCTTATACTTAGTTTTTTGCCTGCTCCTAGAGTTGGTTTTGGCACTAAAAATAAATTCCAGAGTAAAACTCTGTGAAACTTCACAGTATTTTTGTTCAGGACAGCAAGATCAAAAGGAGGACACAACTTCATTCTTCACTATAAAATATTGTGTGAAGAGGAGGAGAGGGAATGTCATTAATTATAGCTTACTGAACAATCCTCTTAAAATTTCCTTTCCTGCCTATGCTAAAGAGGCTGAGCTCTACCCTTTCACTCTTTCTCTTTCTTTTCTTTTTTAGCATAAGAAATTTTACCTTTTGCCAAAAATTCCAGAGTGATATAGATATCTTTGACATTCAGAAGACTGCACCTTTACATTTCATCTCAACTGGCATCTTCTCTAGCTTGCACCTATCAAATTTTGGAGACAAAAATCCAGACTGCCACCAAAAGGCAGTGAGAAATACAAATATTTTTATTCTTTGCCACTATCTAATGTTTTCTGGATTTTTGCAACCTGCATGTAGTAGCCGTAATCTAGTTCAGCCAAAATACATTTAAACATGATGATCTAGTCCAATCCCCTGCTCAAGCAGGAAACTCTATACTCCTATACTATTTCAGACAAATCCTTGTTCAATCTCTTCTTAAAAATCTCCAGGACTGGAGCACCCACAATTTCTGGAGGTAAGTTGTTCCACTGATTAATTATTCTAGCTGTCAGGAAATTTCTCCTTAATTGTAGGTTGGTTGTCTCCTTGATTAATCTCCATCCATTGCTTCTTGTTCTGCATTTAGGTGTTTTGATTGACCCCATCTTCATTGTGGCAGTCCCTTAGATATTGGATAACTGCTATCACACCACTTCTAATCCTTTTTTTCATTAAACTAGAATGCCCTATTTCTGCAACCATTCTTTACATGTTTTAGCCTCTAGTCCCCTAATCATCTTTGTTGTTCTTCTCTGCACTCTTTCTAGAATCTCAACATCTTTTTTATATCATGGTGACAAAAACTGGATGCAGTATTCCAAGGCAGTAACAATTAGTTTCTATAATTAAATAGTTCACATAGTAGCTTTGCTTGATTTTCTCTTCTTCCAATAATATTCTCTTTTGCCAAGCTTGTGAGTTATCTGACTGTTTAGATTGGAATCAGAGCCACGAGTTCCGTCTGGGCAGAACACTTGGATTAATACAATTCTTATTGTTTTGATAAATAACAATTAAATATAGACATTTTTCTAATATTTTTGCAAATAATAACCACATCAAAGCTTCTTTTCTAACTGATCATCTTGATTGCCTCATCATAGATTCTGTTTACAAAATTCTTATTTAGATTTGTTTTCCCCACAATGTTCAAAACATTCTTACCAATTAAGATTTTCTCAAAATTCATTACACTTAAGTATTTTTTTCCTCATACATGTCCCTCTTAAGCTAATGTACATTTATATCCAGAATTTTTCTCTTCTCTTTAACCATATTCAAACATATGTTTAATCTTTAAATGTTCCATTTAATAAATCCAATTACCTAATCTTTTAGAGCTATTCAAAACATTTTTATTGATTAAAGTTTTCTCAAGATCAATTACACTTAAGTATCTAAAATATTTCCTTTATATAAACCATCCCAACATTTGTATATTTCTCATGTCAAAAAACAAAAGAAAAAAGAAAAAAAAGAAAAAATACTCAAATGTTACTTGAGGGGCTCATTCCTCTTAAACTAAAATTCGTTTCTATCCAACATCTTTATATTTCTTAGTCAAACAGATGTTTAATTTTTAAATATTCCCTCTGATAAATCCCATCATCTAATTTCTTAATTCTCATTTTAGCTTTTTTTTTTTTTTTTTGCCAAACTCTTTCCTGATCAATGTGCTCTGCTGAATGAAAGAGTCTTCCCATAGTCTTGTAGATGTTGTTGTAGGTACAAAAGACAAATCAAGTAAGATGTTTTTATGGGAAGATTTCACCCCTTCATATTCATTAAATATCCTTTCCTTTCTTTCTCTCTTAATTTCTCTTATCATTTTTTGTCTTTCAAGTTCTCATGGTTCTCCTGACTGCTCTGTAATCCATTTTGTTGAATTTTTTTCTTGTCCTCAGACTTATTTTGTGACCTTAGAACAGTGGTTCTCAACCTTTTTAATGCCGCGACCCCCAACCGGTCGTAAGTCGAGGACTACTCAACCGGTCATAAGTCGAGGACTACTCAACTGGTGAAGCACCGTTTGCAGAATGGGACTTTTGGCGGGCTCAGCAGGGCAGAGACAGCCTGGACAATTCCTATTGGCTTTTGAAAGCCAATAGAATTAGACTCTATTCAAGAGAGTCTATTCTATTGGCTTTCAAAAGCCAATAGAATAAAAGGGAGTAGCACAGCTAAGGAAAAGGGGAAAAAAATGGCGGACTGTGTTGTTTGGCGACCCCCGTGAAATGGTCGTTTGACCCCAAATGGGGTCCCGACCCACAGGTTGAGAACCACTGCCTTAGAATATAAGTTATCTTTTCCATATCCAATATTTCCTGCAAGTATTTTCCACCTGGATTAAGTCATACTTTCTTCTGTTGTTAGGTTCCATCTTTAAATTTCTTTCCTCTGGTTTATGTTCAGTTGTCTATTTTATCTGCTCACTCTCTATTTTTATTTTCTGAGAGTTTTTTGTTGTAAAGTTAAATTGGAGATGTATGTATTTATATTTTCAAAGTTATTATTAATTTCCTCGTGGTTTGAGATTATTGTTATTTAATTAGTGGCAACATAGCATACATCTCCTCCTGGAAAGTATTTGTTTTTTCTTGGTATATTCTTTCTGCAGATCTCTGGTTTTCCATGATAGCAAAAAATCAGGGTTTTTCTTTCTCTGCAAACAGCTTTAGAGTCACAACTGAGTAGGTATTTATAATCCAGAAAGGTCAATTTTTTTTCTAAAGTAATTCTCGCTTTGTAGGTAGCCCAAAATGTTTTCTTTTTCTTTTTGTCACAGCTGTTCTCTATTATTAAGGCATTGAAGGTCACAAAATCAAGTTATCTTTTCCTGGGCTTTGCCAGTTCCTGTATTGAAGCAACTACTATTGTATATTTTCATCCACCACTAGATGTCAGCATCAGTTCATTTTTCAGTTTTCAAAATAATTGCTGTCTTCTGTTTTCATGACTTTAAAGAAAATCTTAACAAATTCCACCAATTTCAAACTTATCCAGATTTCAGTCTTATATTTATTTCATTTCAGTATATTTCTGTCTCCATAAAAAGTTTAATTTGCCACTTTCACCTGTAGGAGAGTGGGGCAAAGATCCCCCTTCTTCTCACTTTCGGAGGATTTTTGCTTCTTGGAGTTTTTTCCCCCCAGGAAATCAATTATCAGGTAGAAGAAAGAAAGTCAATGTTCTTATCCAGTTCCAAACACGTTGTTTACAATCGGCTTAAAATAGTGCTTTCAGGCTTCGGCTGCTTGTAGCTTGGGCTAGACTCTGGAGTTAAGCTAGCCTTTCTCCTGCTGGTTTCTGAAGGGCTTTTACTGGACCAATTGGATCAATTGGATCCAATTGGACCAGCAGTTGATGGGATTT